TCGTGAATTGACAGAAGTTAGAAATTATGAACCACTGGAAATCGACCCAGTGGCTGAATGTTTAACGCGTTCGCTGTGAGACCCGAAGGTCCTGAATTCGATCCCTGGATGGCAGGGTCGTGAGTGTGTACTGCTAAGGAGTCCCATACTATGATGAAGCAGCTACCCAGTGCTCCCAGATTTTCAACGGTTCCCCAACTGATGTCAGTCCATGATGAATATTACTTCTAAATTAAAAAATCCTCATTCATCTGAAAAGTACAATACTGTGCATCCCCAATCCAATCCAATCCAATCCATCTTCACTTCGTTCTACTGTATATTTGTTGAGCGATAGGTTCTTGCTTCGTTGGTTGGTTGGCAGTCAGTCAGAGTTCATTGTTGCTTATTCTTATTATTCTGGTCATCTGAGCTTCAGTAACGAGCCAGCGTAGGTGGCAGTTGTTGATGAATATCTGCAGTTTGTTGGAAATGCCTTTCGTAACCCGCCAAGTCTCTGAGCCATACAGAAGCACTAACGTGACGTTGGTGTTCAAAATCCGGATGTTGTTCACGTTTTGTGCTGAGTGGACTGCAGTAGATCTACACACTGGTTTCAGGTTAATGAACGCCTGTCTTGCTGTCTTTCCGAACCTGGCTTTCACGTCCTTGTCTCTTCCGTCTGTAGTTGAGACGATGCTGCTTTGCCTAGGTACGTGCAAGAGGCTACTTCCTTTAAGTTTCTCCCGTTAATTGTGACTTGAGCTTGTTTTTGTTGTTGGTTCGGTATCATCATCACCTCTGTCTTCTCTACGTCCACTTGAAGTCCCGTCTTCGATGCCCTATCTCTTCTGTCAACTTATCAGTTTTCGCCTGTAGATCTTCAAGGGTGTGTGGCATTAGACATAAGTCATCAGTGAAATCCAAATCTTCTAGGATCTGTACATCGATCCAGTTAGCGTGTCGCCCTCTTCTCGCTTCTCATATTTGTCTGCTACATGATCCAGTCGACGACAATCAGGAATATCATGGGTAATAGTAGACGGAAGCCTTGTCTCACTCCTGTGTGTTTTCACTTCAAAGGCATCACTAAGCTTCACATTGTGAATTACTTGGCATGTGGCGTCTTCATATAGTTGTTGAATGAGATTGATAAATGTTTGTGGTGTTCCGTAGTGTTGAAGTAATTGCCTGCCAAATTACTGCTTAGTCGACTCTATCAAAGGAATTTTCAAAACCAATGAAGTTGAGGTGTAGAGTTGACTGCCGTTCTATACTCTGTTCTATGATGATGCGTAGCGTTGCAATTTGACCCGCTTATGATTTTTACTTCCTGAATCCAGCTAGCCTGTTTGGGTCGTAGTTTTGAATCCAGCGCATCCTTCAGCCTCTCCAGGATGATGCGGCTTAATATTTTGCTTGCTGTGGGTGGACAGGAGAGTGATTCCGCGTCAGTTCTTGCAAACACTGTGGTCTCCCTTCTTCGGGAGTTTGACAAGGTAACCCTTCTTCCAATCGGCATGTACCTTCTCTTCCTTCCACACCTTCTGCAATAGTGGTGTGGTGTGAGCATGTCTGCTATTGTCTCTGAGTCTGCTCTCAGTGCTTCAGGCGGGATTCCATCTGGTCCTGCTGCTTTCCGGCATTTCAGTAGCTTTATGGCGTTCAGGACTTCGACTTTCGTCAGAGGGCTTGTGTTCGCTGGTAGTTCTGTGGCTGGGCTGCAGGTGGTACTTCTGGACGAAGTGCAAGTGGTGGTGGTGGTCGATTCAAGAGCATTTTGAAGTGGACAGTCCATCGTTTCCTTTGTTTCTCTTTTTTGGTAACTAAGTTTCCTTCACTATCATCTTTTATTGGTTTCATCTGTGTTTATCTCTTCCCAGAGAGTAACCTGGTTATCTGATACAATGTCGTCAGGTCTCTCCTACCAATAGCCTGTTCTGCTTCACTTAAAATCTCTTTAAAGCAGGTAGTTACTAGTCCTACATCTAAATTATATGCATCAGTATATACAGTCGCATATATAACAGACAGTCTCACTGAGTGACAAAGTTATGAACAATGAAGTAAAGTCTTGATACTTCAACAAACTGAAATATATCATGAATAGAAGAACTCGACACTTGCCTTCTAACAGGTTTCAGAATTTCAGCTAACCATTTAGCAGTTCAGTGATAAGAACCAGATTAAAGGGGTGGGGGGGGTAGTTGAAAAAACGAAAAACGGAACGAAGCACACCAAGACTAAAATAAATTAACGTCAAGGTAGAGATAAAGACTGTACATACTACTTTTGGATGCTAGGGTCAGGCTTCAGCTCATGGATAGCCAAAGCCTCTACTGTTTTTAGAAGCTGAACACAGGGAAACATGAGAGATGTTTAGACGAATTCGATAGACAACTTTAAAATCATTATCAGCGGTCAGTTGAATGGTTGTAGTTGATTTTAATGCTCAAGGATAGAACTTTGAATGGATTTCTTTTCACCCTTATAAAACCAATCAGGAATATGTTCTGATATACGTGTTGACAGTAATCTTTGACTACCTATCGATATACCATTGCTCCACAAGAGCAAAAGAACTAGTAGATACATATTGATATGGCTTGTCAAGGGATATTGTCTTTTATACAAACGAAAAAACAATTTACGACTAGTAAAGATCAAATAAAGTTTGGTTGAGAACAAAAAATCCTACTGAAGGATCTGGAAAGAAAATTTTTCAGATTATTTGATAGTGCATCATCTTTGAAGTTCAGATTCATGAACAAACTATTTTTAGAAACAACATCATTCACTGGGAAACAGGTACATCCAGCTGACGAGTCCCAAATAAGACGAAACGCGTATCCTGGATCCCATTGCTAGCCACTATGAATCGTTGGTAAATTGATAACGTTTGAAGTTCAGATTCATAAACAAACTGTTTTGAGAAACTCATCTAATCCTCGAGGATAGCCGTTTTCGGCGAATATCCATTGTTCAGTAAATATCCTGTTTTTCGATACGATCAAGCAGTAATAATAATAAATTTTTTTGAGGGGGTTGTGGAGATTTGGAAATATTTCAAGTTGTTATTCATCGAAGACTGACATCAGTTGGAGGAACAAAGGAAACCTGGGAGAACTGGACAGCTGTTTCGTCCTAGTATGGGACTCCTCAGCGGCCAGCGGCCAGCGCGTTACCATTGAGCCACTGGGTCAGAATCCAATGCTCCATATTTCCAACTTCTGTTAGCTCACGATATAGCGCAAACCGCCACCCAATGTCATCGTTGAGTATTTGTCCTCACGGCCATCAGGCTTTGACTCCACCGGTCACGACTTGTCATTCGAACTTCGGGAATACTTCTCGATGAATAACAACTTGAAATATTTCCAAGTCTCCACAACCCCCTCAAAAAAATTTAATTGAACTGGTGCTCATTGGTGACTAGCTTCGAGAAGCATTCCAGAAGTTCCAATGACAAGTCGTGACCGGTGGAGTCAAAGCCTGATGGCCGTGAGGACAAATACTCAACGATGACATTGGGTGGCGGTTTGCGCTATATCGTGAGCTAACAGAAATTGGAGATATGGAGCATTGGATTCTGACCCAGTGGCTCAATGGTAACGCGCTGGCCGCGGAACTGAAGGTCGCGGGTTCGATCCCTGCCAGTGGGGTCGTGGGTGCGCACTGCTGAGGAGTCCCATACTAGGAGGAGACAGTTGGCTGTCCAGTGCTCCCAGGTTTCCTTTGTTCCTCCAACTGATGTCAGTCTTCGATGAATAACAACTTGAAATAATAATAATAACAATATCGATGACAATAATAATGGTAATGGCGGTGAATAAATAAGAGACAAGAGACAGAAGTCTGACATGACGATAGGGTGCGTATCACAGACAGTTGGAACGGTAGTCATTACATATGGTACACCTTGCACTAACCCAGTCATTTGCAAATGTGCTTCGTTTCCTCTTCTGTTCTTCTCTTGATTTGTTCTTGATCTGCTCTTCATACATTCTTATCAGCAGCATTCACACTGTAATACACCTGCTTTATCCCTTGTGTTACTCTTGGCAGAAACCTTAACCATTGCCACTCTCTCAACATATACTACTTATATCCACTGTTATCAGTAACACCCACTACAGTAGTAGTAATACTAATAATGACAATAATGGCTTTATTCTGAAAGACATTTTGAAAATGTAGCATCAGTTGGTGGACAGTAACAGGTTGATATGTATACATAGAAGATAACAATATTCACTATATCCACAACTTTCTTGAAAATGTAGACTTAAGCAAACAGTCACATTTGCAGGAATTAGAGACATAGTACATAAATAGTAACATACTTTGTACTCATTAAATAGTTTGCTTTAATAAAAGTGAAAGTTGATTAGCGTAAGTTCATTCGTGTCACTTTCTTCCTTTCATAGGAGATAAGAAACAGTTGGCCGTCCATTGCTCTCAGGTTTTCTTTGTTCCTTCAACTGATATCAGTCTATGATGAATAACATCTTGAGATATTTCCAAATCCCCACAACTCCATCAAAAATTCAATTGAACTAGTCCTCATGCTTGACTAGCTTTGACAGGTATTCCTGAAGAAGTTCCAATGAGAAGTGATGACCGATGAGTCAAAGCCTGATGGTTATGAGGACAGTTACTCAACGATGACATTGGCTAGTAGTTATGCTTTTTCATGAGCTAACTAAAGTTGAAAATATGAAAGATTCGATTGCGATGCAATGACTAAATGGTAAGGTGATGGTCAGGGAACCTGAATGTTGTGTGTTCGATCCATGGAGGATAGGGTCGTGGATGCGCACTGCTTAGGAGTCCCATTCTAGGATGAAACAGATGGCTGTCCATTGCTCTCAGGTTTCCTTTGTTCCTCTAACTGATATCAGTCTATGATGAATAACATCTTGAAAACTTCTTCATATTGTATACATATAAATAGGTTCAAAGGTCAACTATTATTATAGTCTAATTATATTATTTGATACTTTTTTTCCCCGTTTTTCTAGAAATATCACAGACAAATGTCAAGATGATGAATTGATTAATCAGAGAAGAAATTTCCCACCTTATCATCTTACAAATTGTACATTGAATAGTGGAATGGATACACTGAAAAAGCTGACACCAATACAAACGCATTAATACTATAGCTAGAAATCCAACGATAACTAATTCACAATGTATAGATGAAATAAATGAGAAGAAGCACATGTCAATTATTTAATCACTTTATTTCAAGCATTAAAAACTTCTGGTGTACAATCGGATTCATTTAAAGAAGCATTTGAACGTATTGGTTTACAAGTGAATAACAATACAAAGTTATCTTTACAGTCATCTGATTCTTGTAAGTTATTTTTCTGAGAAAAAAAAAATTGTTTCATAATATGTAGAAAAAAGGATTGTTTTATTCGGTGCTCTGTTGACGGTTTCATTGATTTCAGCATTGATATTCAACACTGACTGACCTGAGATGAAGAATACAGTACAGACAGACAGACAGATAGATAGACAGACAGACAGACAGACAGACAGACAGATAGATAGATAGACAGAGATAGACAGATAGATAGATAGACAGACGGATAGACAGATAGACAGGCAGATGAGTTGGGTGTCCCAGTTGAGGGTGACATGAAGGAGATCATATGAGGAAGAAATGAAAGCTTGTGGGCACCTACGCCACCTACACTGGCTCATTACTGAAGCTCAGATGACCAGAATAATAAGAATAAGCAAGAAGGAACTCTGGCTGCTTGGCAACGAATCAATCAACGAAGCAAGAACCTATCGCTTAACAAATATACAGTAGAAGGAAGTGGAGATGGATTGGATTGAATTTGGCATACACTGAGAAGACTGACTGGGGACATCACGCACCGGACCAGGCCAGGCACTCGGGTGTAACCGAGATGGGGAGGAACCAATTGGGTGTCCCAGTTGAGGGTGACATGCAGCAGATGGTGTGTGAGAAAGAAATGAAAGCTTGTGGGCATCTGTGAGGCGAGATTTAAGGCACTGGAGAGAGGAGAGTGAAATGATGACGTGCTACTGAAGCCCTATGTTCCCCTAGGAACACAAGGGATTTTAATGATTTCAAGTTGGTATTTATCAATGGAATATTAAATACCTGGCAGCAATGGATAGATGTTTCATGTTACTATAGGATTGCTTGATAGTGAACAACTATGACTCCGCCTTGCAAGGGGTAGAAGACAGGACCTATGGATTCTGTGGTCATTAAGTTACCACTGATGGCTTGTATGGGAATCGAATGGCCCAAAGTTTTGTAGTTCTATCAGTTCACGATATGACTTGTGCGTGATGAAAACATAAACTTGAAGATCTTCAGGCGAAAACTAACAAGTTGACAGAAGAGGCGAGGCAGCGAAGATGGGACTTCAAGTGAATACAGAGAAGACAGAAGTGATGAACATACCCAACCAACAACAACAACAACAAACTCCAGTCACCATCAACGGGAGAAACTTAAAGGAAGCAACCTCCTTCACCTATCTAGGAAGCACTGTTTCAACTACAGGCGGCACGGGCACAGACGAGGATGTCAAAGTCAGAATCGGAAAAGCAAAACATGCGTTCATTAGCCTGAAACCAGTGTGGAGATCTTCTGCACTGCACTCAGCATGTGGAACAAGATCCGGATTTTCAACACCAACCAATTCAGTCAAGTCAGTGCTTCTGTATGGTTCAGAGACTTGGCGCGTCACGAAAGGGATTTCCAATAAACTACAGACATTCATCAACAACTGCTTACGCTGGCTCGCTACTGAAGATCAGATGTATTGCCAGAAAGAATAAGCAACAAGGAGCTCTGGGAACGAACCAATCAAGAACCTATCGCGCAACAAATATGCAGGAGGAAGTGGAGATGAATTGGGCATGCACTGAGAAGGCCGACTGGGGACATCACGCGTCAGGCCGTCGAGTGGAATCCCCATGGGGAGCGACGAGTTGGACGTCTCAGCTGAGGGTGACATGAAGGAGATCGTGCGAGGAAGAAATGAGAGCTTTTGGGCTGTTGTGGAGCCAGGTTCAAAAGATCTCAGGGAACAGAGGTCACTGGAGACGTGTTACTGAAGCCCTATGTTCCACTAGGAACCCAAGGGACTAATAACAATAATCAGTTCACGATCTAAGGTGATGGTGATTCCATGCTGTTGTTCAGTATTTGTTCTGACTTTCAACTTGGTTTGCCCCGTCAGTCGCGACTTCTTCCTAGAACTTTAAAAATTACTCTTTGAAGTCAATCATCAATAAGTACTAAACAGTAATTCAGTTTGAATGGAGTTCGCACTATATCACGAACTGATAGAAGTAGGAAAATGTGAACCATTGGATAGTGATACAGTGGTTGAATGATTACGCACTGGCTGTGGAACCTAAATGTCCTGGGTTCGAACCCTGATGAGGTGTACCATGCTAGAGAGAAGCAGCCTTTTAGTACATCCATGTTTCCAATGGTTCTTCAGTTGAAGTGAAAATAATCAGAACTGTTAATATACTCCAGTAGACAATTGTAGAATAACCTACAGATCTCATTCATTCTGACCACTTGAGAAACCGTAGACTATGAGGAAGTTTGATGAAATTTCAACAATATTCAAATATACTGGTGACTTTGAAACTTCATCAACATTTCAGAATATTATAATCATTGATTCTTGTGGAATTAATCAATTAGACAACAGGATATACGTTATTATGACAGTTGTAATTTCTCGCTGCCATACAAAAGCGAATTCCTCGACATCTGTTAATTGACAGATGGGTTCTTATGGAGATACTTCAGTAATGTTAGATATATTCTTCATGTTATATTGGTGTTGGTGATGACGGGAACAATATCAGTGAATAAAGTGTAAGTAGACCAAGTCGACGAGTCCTAAATGGGACGAAACCTGTAGCCTGGATTCATCTGGTATTCATCAACATGAATATAACAAAACTTACATTTTTCTAGAAACTTTCAAATGTTTTTTTATGATTTCTGGTATCTATAAACAACTAGAGGGCAGATATTGTATATTGTAACAAAGAACTTACTTTATACCCTCTTCAAGTTAACTCTTGATTAAAATTCACTTTTCCTTAGAAATACTGGAGGTTTTAATTGATCTTAACGAACGTAGAATTCCAGCTGGAAATTCTTTTATATAGGTATATTCTTGTATCCTGTCTAGTGATGAATAAATGTTACGTGGACGCCTCGATATTGTCTGCATGCTAATTATATTAATGATAGGTCGTGGCTACAATGTGCATTTCGTCCTATTTGGGATTCGTCAGCTGGCTGTACTTGTTTCCCAGTGGGTGATGTTGTTCCCCACCAGGATTTGAACACTGATAATATTCAGGCATCCGTACAAAGACCGATCGATTCAATCCAACCAACTGTTGGTTAAAGGATATTGTATTCATGAAGGAATGTTGAAATTGGCACAGTAAACAGGTGGGCTACTCAAATAGTCTCGTATTTCCAGTGTTCCTCTATAACTTTAACCCCATATCGAGTAATCATACACATTGTAATGATTAACTTTAAACAAAGCAAAGGAAAATATTCCCTGAGAGAATATCATTCGATTCATTGTTTTGTTGACTAACCTGTTAACAAGTATCAGTAATGCTTAGATTGACTGGTAACACCCAGCACCCAATACCCAACAACAACAAAGAAAGCCATTCAATAAGTTTATTTTACTACTCATATATCGAATAAAATTTTAACTACTGAAATTATCCACAGAATTAATTCATTGTCTCATTTCTCCTCATCCCCCCCCTCTGGCGCACTTTTTTTTTAAATTTCCTCTTTTTATTTATCAGTGAACAAGAAACAAGGAATATTAAAAACAAAACTCTATGAAATTGAAGAGATAAAAAAATCTATCAAATCATTTTATCAAATATTTACTGAATTCAATACAAAGTTAACAAATGATTTGAATAATTGCAATAAAGCTGTAATGGTATGTTTATATATATGTATAGAGAGATTTAAACAAAATTCAATTTTCAATGATTATTTAATCACTCTATGTCTCTCACTCTTTCCTTAATGATTTAACACAGAATTTAACATTTAACGCTTTATGAGGACCGATTATAATTTTAAAAAAATCAATTGAACACTTCAACAACACTGAGGTTGATGTAGATTATCACATATATGCATGCATACATACATACATGCATACATGCATGCATACATACATACACACATGCATACATACATGCATACACACATGCATGCATACATACACACATACATGCATACATACACACATGCATACATACATGCATACATACATGCATACATGCATGCATACATACATACACACATGCATACATACATGCATACACACATACATACACACATACATACATACATACATACATACACACATACATACATACATGCATACATACATGCATACATGCATGCATACATACATACACACATGCATACATACATGCATACACACATACATACACACATACATACATACATACATACATACATACACACATACATACATACATACATACATACACACATACATACATACATACATACATACACACATACATACGCATATACATACACACATACATACATACATGCATACATACATACATACATACACACAGACAGGCAGACAGGTAGACAGACAAACAGACAGACAGGCAGACAATATCACCATAAGATGTGGGATTGCTGCGTAACATTCGACACCTCCTTTAAGCATATTAACGAAGAACGCTCCAAGATGAAAAAATTAGGGTGTCACAGGAGGAAGTCTTCCATTTGCCTAACTTGTGGGATTATTGTGAAATGGAAGCCAAATCAATTAGCAGTTATGAGTTGAGCATTTCCAGTGTATAGCTTTGGTAGCCAACATACATAACATACAACATACATATAAGATAACCGAATATAATTTTATGTATACAAGTTCAGTATGACATCTGCAGAGTGGCAAATAAAATTCATGCCCATAATTCAGTGCTATCGGGAAAAAAGTAGATTTTTCTAAAATTTTATCAAAAAAGAAAATCAAAATTTTCAGCAGTTAATCCTATCTATGAAGTTATCTTATTTCAAGTTGTTATTCATTGTAGACTGACATCAGTTGGAGGAACAAAAGAAACATGGGAGTCCTCAGCAGTGCGCATCCACGACCCTACCATCCATGGATCGAACCCGCAACATTCAGGTTCCGTGACCACCACCTTACCATTGAGCCATTGGGTCAGAATCCAATGGTCGATATTTTCAACTTCAGTTGGCTCATGATATAGCGCAACCGCCACCCAATTTAATAGTTGAGTAACTTTGACTCCACCGGTCACGACTTCTCATTGCAACTTCGAGAATCATCTCTCAAAGGCAGTCACCAATGAATACCACTTCAATTGATTTTTGAGGGAGGTCGCTGGTTCGATCCCTGGAGGTTGGGGTCGTCGGTGTGTACTGCTGAGGAGTACCATACTATGAGGAAACAGTTGGCTGTCCAGTGCTCCCGGTTTTCCCTTATTCCTCCGGTTGATGTCACTCTACGATGAAATATTTCCAAATCCGCACAACTCCCTCAGAATTTATCTTAGTGTAATTAGGGGATGATGTTTATCTGAACGAAGTGTGTGTGTGTGTGTGTGTGTGTTTGATACATTTGACCAACACACATTCCGAACACACACACACAGTGACACATTCACTTGTCTCAAGTCAGTTTATGTAAAAGTGAAGAAAAGGAGGTCAAATGGATCAATTAAGGTAAGTAGAGGATTAAAATTAAGAAAGTTGAGAACAGACAGGAGGAAAGTGACATAGTTGATCCTATCCTCGGTAGGAAAACGAATATTTCCAAGTTAGATGTAATATAAACGAACAAATTGTTTTTGTATACACACATATGAAGATGGCATAATTGTCTTTATATCATACCATCGTTGGTTGAACTTAATTGATCGGTCTCTATTGGCATATGAGATCTTGTGAGGATACTTCGAGATTACCTATGTTTTTAGTTGTAGTAATGATGGATAGTGGCTAGCAGTGGAATCTAGGATGCGCGTTTCGTCCTATTTGGGCCTCACTAGTCACCTGGATGTACTTGCCTCCTAGTGAGTGATGTTGTTCCCACCATAGCTTGGTGGTCTGTTAGATAACGCTCTGGCGTTTGAAGCGATCGTTCCCAAGTCCCAGTCCCAATGGGAGGCAAGTACATCCAGCTGACGAGTCCCAAATAGGGCGTAATGCGCATCCTGGATTCCACTACTAGCCGCAATCCATCATTAATACAGACAAAGATGGTTTCAGATTTTGTATGTCTATTGTTACGCCAATTCTTAATCTGCATCTCGCATTGTTTCTTCCAAAGCTGTTTGAACAATAATTTTGGGACCCCTTTGTATAACACGTTTAGCTATAGATGAAGAGGGTAGTCTCCCCCACTTATGCTTATCAAACTTTTACACTATCTGTTTTTCAAGGGATTTGTGCATATGTTCTTCCACTGCCAGTTATATAGTAAAGTTTATTTTCTTACCAAGATTAGAATCAGATATGGTACTGTCGGTTTTTCTCTGATCTTCCTCCATTATAATCCCCCCTGTTATCATAACTTTTGTATTTGTCCTTCTGTCCTTTGGTTTTATACAAGTTGACAAGTAAATATGTCTGATCAGATTATTTGAAATGTGCATTGTGCAAATACATCACAAATTTATATGGCGTTGGTTGTATTATCCCGCCAGTGATTGGATCGCACATTGTTCTATGTTTGTTGGCAGATGGAGTTTTACACAGTTGCCTTGATATTGTCTAGCGTTTCAACTTTAATGGATAATGGCTAGAAGTAGAATCCAGAAAGCGTGTTTCATCCCCTTTGGGACTTTTCAGCTTGATGTACCAGCCTTCTAGTGATTGATGTTCTCCCCTCTCAGTTTCGAACCCGGGACCTATCACTTCTAATGCCAAAGCGTTATCCAAGGAGCAAGATGATACAAACTATAGTTTCCCTACGAAAAGTGACCATATTGACTCAGTGGCCTGGTGGATAACGCTGAAGTGTCTGAATCCGTGGGTACTAAGTTAAAGCCTTAGTGGAAACAACATCGCTCACTGAGAGACTAATATATCCAGCTGACGAATCCCCAAATGGGACGAAACATGATGTTGAGACGAAAATATAAAGGTGAAGTAAGCAATCTAGAAACTTCGGAAATTCATAACAGCACAGTTAGAACAAGACCATGAGTTGATAAATTACTGAATGCTTTATGACATTGAAATGAATACGCTAACGACTGTTCACTGGACCACAATAATATTAGAAGATGGAAACTTACCTGAGAATGCAAGGATGATTTGTTCAATCAAATAGCGTTATATATAAACCACTTTCCTGAATATAAAAATACTCTAGGTCAAAGAAATAATGAGTCTTTCTGATTGGCTATATGAAACATGAAATTGTCCAATGAGATTTATCCTGACTGCAAGATTGTATTGATGAAAATTGAAAGGTTAAACATTTCTACCAATGACTTAAAATGTTGATTTTCATTACATTCATATTGTATCAATTTTGTCAACATCAAGCAGGAAATTTTGACTTTCTTATAAATCTCCCTTCAACAATTAGATATTCAGTCTGTTTATATTGTTATACAATATAAAGTATATTCTGTTTCCATGTGAATAAATTACTGATAAAGACGGTAGCCATGGTTAGAATTGAGTGGAAAGCGGTTGGAAACTCTGGAGAAATATAAATTCCCTAGGAGTTGAAGATATACATTGCCGAAGACTGTCGACAAACATTCAACCTTTGCTTCAAGCAAAATTACAACCATAGACTGACTTTTATTATGTAACACTTTAACCAACAACAGCAGCAACAACAACAACCGCCGATCACCATCAACGTGAGAAACGTAAAGGAAGTTACCTCTTTCACCTATCTAGGCAGCACTGTTTCAACTACAGGCGGTACATGCACACATGAGGATGTCATAGCAGCAGGATCGGAAAGACAGCAAAACATGCCTTCATTAACCTGAAACCAGCGTGCAGATCTACCGCACTCAGCACAAAAAACAACATCCGAATTTTCAACACCACCAATTCAGTCAGTCAGTGCTTCTGTATGGTTCAGAGACTTGGCGCGTTACGAAAAGCATTTCCAACAAACTACAGATATTCATCAACAACTACCACCTACCCCGGCTCATTACTGAAGCTCAGATGACCAGAATAATGAGAATAAGTAAGAAGGAACTCTGGCTGCCTGCCAACCAACCAACCAACCAACCGAGAACCTATCGCTCAACAAACATGCAGTAGGAGGAAGTGGAGATGGATTGCATTGGATTGGATTGGATTTGGCATACGCTGAGAAGGCCGACTGGGGACATCACGCACCAGACCATGCCAGGCCAGGCACTCGAGTGGAACCGAGATGGAAAACGACGAGTTAGGCGTCACAGCTGAGGGTGGGATAGAGGAGGAAATGAGAGCTTGTGGGCTGTCGTGCAGCCAGGTTCAAAAGATTTCAGAGAAGAGAATGAAATCGAGACCTACCACTGAACATCTATGTTCCACTGGGAACTCAAGGGACAAATAATAATAAAATTTAGACATAATATTTGTCCAGATGCTATAAGTTAGATTTCCTTCTGTCTTCTCCACGGCCCATTTGATAAGTATTTTTTATGGTAGTTCACTTGGTTGTGGCTAACAAAAGAATGTGGGACGCACGTTTCGCCCTATTTGGGATTCGACAAGTGGATGGACCTGCATCTCAGTGCGAAGTGATGTTGCCCTCACTGGCACTTGAACCTGGTGCCCATCGCTTCAAACTCCAAGGTGTTATCCACTAGGTTACGAAGGCTAGATAGCCACCTGTTATACAACTACTATTAGTTATTACTATTTATTGATATGCTTGTAATTCTGTGTTGTTTTACTGGATCAAATTCTTCTTCCTAAACAGAATGCCATTCTCATCCTGGATATTCCTGTGCTAGTCAAGTTTATTATTATTATTATCATTAGTCTGTTGGGTTCCTAATGGAACATACGGCCTCAGTGACACATCTCCAGTACACTCTGTTCTCTGAAATCTTTTGAACTCGACTCCACAACTGCCCACAAGATCTCATTTATTCCTCACATACAATCTCCTCCATGTCACCCTCAGTTAGGACGCCCAACTCGTCGTGTCCCATCTCGGTTCCACTCGACGGCCTGGCCTGGTCTGGTGCGTGATGTCCCCAGTCAGTCTTCTCAGTGCATGCCCAATCCAATCCATCTCCACTTCCTTCTACTGCATGTTTGTTGAGCGATAGGTTCTTGCTTCATTGGTTGGTTTGTTGGCAGGCAGCCAGAGTTCCTTCTTGCTTATTCTCATTATTCTGACCATCTGAGCTTCAGTAATGAGCAGGGGTAGGTGGTAGTTGTTGATGAATATCTATAGTTTGTTGAAAATGCTTTTCGTGACCCTCCAAGTTTCTCAACCATCACATCAAAGCACTGACTTACTTGACATTGATATAAAAATCCCCTCCAGTCTCTTAGACGATATCAATTCTGTTGTGATTGCCAATTTCTCATATCTACACTACAATGATCTCGTTTATGTCTTATACTATACCTTTAAGTGATTGAAACCGAATTTTTCTCTCTTTTCATCTACATATATATATATATATATATATATATATATATATATATATATGGATTAAACATTTCCTTTTTTATTTTTTTTTCTGTTTAGAAATTATTAAATTATCAACAGAATATAAACGAAAAAGATTTTTTGATTTACACTTAGAAACAATTTATAATGAACGTGAATGTTTAAATCAATCATTACAAGAAATATATAAGATTAGTTCATCAATAACTGAACAATTATATGATCTTGAGTGTATTATTGAACAAACAGGTAACGATGTATTACAGCATCGTTGTAGAATTACTCTACCATATGTACAAACATTAGAGAGTAGATTGGAATCAATTCATTCAACTGTTAGTGTTACATATGGTAAGTAATTAGATTTTCTTCTATGCATATACATATATATTCTCCTCTCCTTCTCCTCCTCCTCCTCCTCCTCCTTCTCCTCCTCCTCCTCCTCCTCCTCCTCCTCCTCCTCCTCCTCCTCCTCCTCCTCCTCCTCCTCCTCCTCCTCCTCCTCCTCCTCCTCCTCCTCCTCCTCCTCCTCCTCCTCCTCCTCCTCCTCCTCCTCCTCCTCCTCCTCCTCCTTGTAAACTGACTTTCATAATGATAATTAATTTGTCTCTTGGGTTCCTAGTAGAACATAAGGCTTCAGTAGCACGTCTCGGCAATCTTTTCAACGTCGGCTCCAAAACTGCCCAAAAACTCTCATTTATTCCTCACACCATCTCCTCTATGTCACCCTCAGCTAGGACGCCCAACTCGTTGTTTCCCATCTCGGCTCCACTCGAGTGCCTGGCCTGGTCTGGTGCGTGATGTTCCCAGTACGCCTTCTCAGTTTATGGCACGTGCAATAGATCTCCACTTCCTTCTACTGCATGTTTGTTGAGCGATAGGTTCTCGGTTGGTTGGTTGGTTGGTTGGCAGGCAGCCAGAATTCCTTCTTGCTTACTCTTTCTGAGTATCTAAGCCTCAGTAACGAGCCAGCGTAGGTGGTAGTTGTTGATGAATCTCTGTAGTTTGTTGGAAATGCTTTGCGTAGCGTGCTGATCTCCACACTGATTTTAGATTAATGAAGGAAGGCCTGCCTTGCTGTCTTTCTGATCCTGGCTGCTGTCACGTCCTTTTATGTGGCGTCTGTAATTAAAACGATGCTCCCTAGATAGGTGAATGAGGCTAATTCCTGTAGATTTCTCCCGTTAATGGTGATTGGAACTTGTTGTTCGTGGCGTTGGTTGGGTATCGTCATCACCTCCATCTTCTCTAAGTTTATTTGAAGTTTCGTCTTCCCTGCCCTGCCTCTTCTGACAACTTATTTGTTTCCACCTGTAGATCTTCGAGTTTGTGTGACATTAGACACAAGTCATCGGCGAAATCCAAATCTTCTAGGATATTTTCCCCAGTTCATCCAGCGTATCCCCCTCTTCTCGCTCCTCACAGTTGTCTGTTGCATGAGCCAGTCCATCACAATCAGAAATATCATGTGTGATAGTAGACAGCCTTGTCTTACTCCTGTGTTTTCACTTCAAAAGCATGACTGAGGTTTCCACTGTGAATTACTTAGCATGTGGTGTCTTCATATGGTTGTTGAATTAGGTTGATGAAGGTTTGTGGTATTCCGTAGTGTCCAAGCAGTTTCCAAATTACCCATCGGTTGACGCTGTCGAAGGTCTTTTCAAAGTCGATAAAGTTAAGATAGAGAGTTAACTGACATTCTATCCTCTGTTCAATAATGATGTGTAGTGTAGCGTTGCAATTCGGTTTGCACACGATTTGCACTTCCTGAATCCAGCCAGCCTTGTTCCGGTGGTAATTTCGAATCCAGCGCATCCTTCAGTCTCTCTAGGATGATGCGTAAAGTAACTTTAATGATACTTATTACGTACTTATACAATAATATCAGTCAATGTGACACGTTGTAGTCAGGAAGAAAAAAAGAGTGAATAGTTCACATGTTTGTATAGATAGATAGAAAACATCAGTATAGAATCTCGTATACAGATGGAATTCCTCCAGAAGCACTAGGAAACAGACTCAAAGACAACAGCGGCGGACATGCTCACACCACTATTGCAGAAGATTTGGAAAGAAGAGAAGGTACATACCAACTGATTGGGATAGTGGCTACCATATTAAACTCCTAAAGAAGGGTGACCTAAATCTTTTCAAGAACTTGTACAGAATCATGTTCCTGTCCTCGCAAAGCAAGCAAAGTATTAGGCCACGTTATCTTTGAGAGTGTAAAAAATGCTCCGAAACAGTTTGCTGGATTCAGAAAAAACAAATCATAAACGGATCAGATTACAACGCTAGGTGATGCCACGCTACATACCATCATAGAACAGACTATATAATGATAGTCAACCGGATCTTTACCTCAACTTTATCGATTTTGAAGGAGCCTTCGATAACGTCGACTGAGAAGGAATTTGGCAGGTAGCTACTTCTACACTACGGTCTCAGTGTCACAAACCTTTATCGACCTCATTCAACAGCTATCTGCTATGCTGTATGATGATGATGCTACATACCAAGTGATTCACAATGGAAAGATGCTCAGTGATGCGTTCGAAGTGAAGACAGGAGACAGAAGTAGGACAAGGTTGCCTAATATCATTACCAATGATCTTACTCATTGTGGTCGACTCGACTCAACTGGATTGTGCAACACACTATGAGGAGCTGTGAGAAGACGGGCATACTCTGCTTGACGGGTGAAAAGAGCCTACAAGATTTGGATTTCACCGTCTGTGATGATTTATATCTGATGTTTTGCCACACAAACTCGAAGATCTACAGTCAGAAACCAACAAGCCGACAGAACATGCGGCGAGGACGCGACTTCAAGTGAACGTAGAGAAGATAGAGGTGACGAAGATACCCAACCAACAACAGCAAACACCAATTACCATCAACGGGAGAAACTTAGAGGGAGTAGTCTCTTTCACCTACACCTACCTACGCAGCATCATTTCAACTACAGGTGGTGATACAGATGAGGACTTCAAAGCCAGTATCGCAAAGGCAACAAGACAGGCCTTCCTGCATTGATATGAAATCATTGTGGAGATCTACTACACTCGGCGTAAAGAACGAGATCCGGATTTACAACGCGAACGTCAGTCAAGTGAGTCAGTACTTTTGTGTGACGGTTCGGAAACTTGGCGCGTCACGAAAGCACTTCCAACAAACTGTAGACATACATCACATGAACAGCTTCTGCCTACGCTCAACTGTAGATCAGATGGCGAGAATAGTAAGAATAAGCGACAAGTAACTCTGGTTGGCTGGCAGCGAACGAACCAATCGATGGAGCAAGAACCTATCTCCCAACAAATATGCAGTAGAAGAAATTGGAGATGGATTGGATTGGGCATAGACTGAGAAAACCATTGGGGGGCATGATGCACCAGTCCCTCGAGTGACCTGCAAATGGGAAAGACGAGTTGAACGTCCTAGCTGAGGGTAACATGGAGGAGATTCATGTGAAGAAGAAATGAGAGGTTGCGGGAAGTGATGAAGCCATGTTGAGAAGACAGTAGAGAAGAGAGTGGAATGGAGACATGCTACTGAATCTTTATGTTTCAGTAGGTAGTCAAGGGTCGACAATGATGGTAACAATAATTCAAGGGGTCATGCATGCATACATTCTGGATAATATGTAATATTTGGATATAATTCAAAGTTTATTATACAATAAGTTCACTGTAAAGTAATAATAATAGTCACCAAGATGAATACAATATAGTGAACAGCTTGCGATTTCGAGGCACCTGGAAACCGATTACTGGGTTCAAGTTCCGTTGGAAGCAAGCTGATTGATTGTATTGCGTGGATACATCCGGATGATGACTCTTAATTGAGATGAAACGCAGGTGCTCTATATAAACTGTCACATATTGAGATAAATATGAATCGAAAGTGGTTCTTATCACTCAGTGACTTCAGTTAAGGGGCCACCAAGTGTAGGATCAGACTCCTTAGGACATCCGTGCCAGTTGATGGTTGTGAACTAGTAAATATGCTCTGCAGAATACTCTCACTGAGTGCTTTCTGATGTAAATTATCGCCTAGTTGATTCTACTTCATATCCAATACTAATTTGAAGTCAACAGTTCATCTCATCATTGTGACAAACTTCCAATTAGTACAAATGTGAATAGACAGTTATTGCTTATTTCCCTTTTCATGAATCAACTTATTCAATCATGTAAAATGGGCATGGTTAACCAGTTTTTCTATATTGAAAGCAGGATACAATTTGTTAGGGTTTATATCAGCATCCTGGCAATCTGTCAACTTTAGCTATGAGATCATAATTCAGTTCAAAGACGATTAATCATGGATTGTTTTGTTACCATCTTCCAGGATTTATTATTATTAACCTTCATGTATTATTTTTTATGTTTTCTTTGTGCTTTGAGTTTTCTTTAGAGATTGGATTAATTTTACGGGGTAGGGTTGTTATTCCTACGCTCAACCTTCCCTTTTTATCCGTGCTTAGGACAGGCTAGTAATTAGTGAAACTAGTTAACCAAGCTCCAGTCACTATCAACGTGAGAAACTTAAAGGAAGTTATCTCTTTCACCTACTATCTCGGCAGCACTGTTTCAACTACAGGCGACACAGACGAGGATGTCAAAGCAGCTAGGATCGGAAAGACACCAAAATATGCCTTCATTAACCTGAAACCAGTGTGGAGATCTACTGCACTCAGCACAAAGAACAACATCCGAATTTTCAACACCAACCAATTCAGTCAAGTCAGTGCTTCTATGTGATGGTTCAGAGATTTGGCGCGTTACGAAAAGCATTTCCAACAAACTACAGATATTCATCAACAACTACCACCTACGCTGGCTCATTACTGAAACTCAGATGACCAGAATAATAAGAATAAGCAACAAGGAACTCTGACTGCCTGTCAACGAACCAACCAACCAACCGAGAACCTATCGCTCAACAAATATGCGGTAGAAGGAAGTGGAGATCGATTGCACGTGCCATAAACTGAGAAGGCCTACTGGGAACATCACGCACCAGACCAGGCCAGGCCGTCGAGTGGAACCGAGATGGGAAACAAGGAATCGGGCGTCCTAGCTGAAGCTGACATTGAGGAGATTGTGTGAGGAATAAATGAGAGCTTGTGGGCAGTTGTGGAGTCGGGTTCAAAAGATTGCCGAGAACAGAGTGTACTGGAGATGTGTCACTGAAGCCGTATATTCCATTAGGAATCCAAGGGACATAGAAATAATAATGGAATAAACCTTCATGCAATATAAACTTGTATTTATTCGATTCATGTTTACTTATATAATGAATGTTAACATTTTCCCTATACAGGTCACTATCCTGAAATTCAACAGTTATTGAATAATCGAGAAGAATCAGAGAGAAAAGCTGTAGAAATTCAAAAAAGGTTAGTTAGTTCAGTGAATATGACTACTACAATTGATTGTATTGACAGAACCAATTAAAGTTACACACACACATCATTACTCTAATGATAAATACAATCTTGAAAACATTTCAATCAATCGATAATGGGTAAGAGAGAGACCAAAAATTGGTTGGAGATTAACTTCAGGTAATCAGATGGTTGAGAACCGATATCGGTGGCGCAGATGTAGCCCGCCCCCTCCCACACATATATACATTATCCTTATCTTAACGACGCTATACGGAATCTCATCATTTTGTCACTCTTCATTACTCTTTTTTAGAAAAAGACCCGAGGTAGCCAGACTGAAAGATGGCACCAATGCATGAAGTGTCTGACTGTTGGTTTGAGCCATGTGGGTGATGCAGACTAGGTGGTTGGGTTCGGTGTGACAAGAGGAACCAGTGGTTGACGACTGACTCTAGGTGATCATATGGCTGAGAACCCATGTCAGTGGTGCAGATGTATCCTCACACACATTATCCTCATCTTAACGACGCTATATCGAATCTCACCATTTTCTCATTCTTCCTTTTTCTCTTTCTTTCCGTAATTTACACTTCGTTTGACTGGATTTTCTTATCTTCATCTTCCACCTCAATACCTTTCTACTTGATATAGTGGGTGATGTGAGGTGTGACAAGCGGGACCGTTACGCAGTAATACCTGGTCCTAGATTGATTTGGATGGATGTATTAGATTATCAGACAGAGCAAAACAACTGTCTACTGCTTAGATCACTCTTATCTGACTGGGTGGCTGGTTGGCTAGCTGCCTGGCTGCCTGGCTGGCTGGATGGATGGATGGATAGCTTGTTGGCGAAATTTAGAGATGCAAGTAACTGGTTTCAATATTCCGGCTGATGAATCAGCCTAGAAGGAAAAAGGACAATGCTGCCATGAATTCTTCAACAAATTAGTTCTCCCTCCGAGTTCATTCATTATCTATGTGTATTACGGATAATTTCTGAGTTTAGTGGTCTCATATAGTCTTATCAACGTGTGAGTGGGAATAGAAGAATATACTGGAGACCTGGTAATTTGAAGGATCGACAGTCACGAATGTTTCAGTCACCATACACAGGCAAGTACTATCGTGAACTCAGAGAAAAAGGAAATATGGACCATTTCCCGATGTAGTACCTCAAAAGCAATGAGCTGGCCGTGGAATCTGAAGGTCGTCGGTTCAAGCTCTGGAAGATTAACAATAAGTTGATCACTGATTGTTGCTAAGCTATAGACTCGTTTCTCCTCTTCATTATTCAACAATACTACAGTGTGTAACTACATTATCATGCCAAATTCCACATTGAAATCTACACTTATTATACATGTTGTACAACTCCTATAGAACTCACTGACAAATATTCATTAATCGAACAATAATAACCAGTTTCATATTATCTATGATCAACTCCTTCTCTCTGTTGATCAAGTTTGTTTTTTTGCCTTCAGATAGTCAAATCGACCGATTCATCATCAAAGTACACCATATTGAATGATTGAAGACAACTGGTAGAAAGCTCAACACATTGGTTCGATATCCACTACCTTTCACTTCGAAATCCACACAACAATCTTCTTCATATCCATACAAATAGACAATGAGCTACACATGTTGTATCATGACTAATCATACTTACTATCGGGTTATTGTGGAAACCTATGGCATTTGAGTGGTGTTCGAATCGTTGATTTACTGATTGAAAGTCGACTGGTTATATTAATGAGACAAAACTCCACTAACGGAAGTTATCAGTATCGAATGCGTATTCTTTCCAAGTCCTTAATGATGTGAAATTAACTGAATATCGAGATACCTTTAATCGATATGAGCATTAGGGATTTATAGAATCGCCACCGTGCATATATATAATGGCCATCACAATGGCTTCAGTACTAAGTGCTTAAATAACTTTAATCTGGTTGATGAATTCTTCAGACTAACCTGAATGGTTACTAACTACTCAAACTGATCAGTAGTATTTTAATCCACCAGCTTATGTTACCTTTTTGTGAGAGATCACAACTTTTATCTAGTCTTGGAGAGTGTTTTCTACAGAAACCCTGTTGACATCACAGTTGTTCTGGCAGTTGAGAAACTACTCTCATATGGTGAATGCCAATTTGAACACTATAGCAATTTGTAAATTGATCACCCTGTTTTAGGTATTACACCGACCCATCTAAGTCAACCAGCCAGCTGGCCAGATTCAGGTGATTTGAATCAATTCGACTCCATTAGCTAAATTCATAATAGAAATACAATTTTTGTGAGTGGTTTCTGACTACTGAACTCGTTTAACAGTAGTATATTTAAAAAGATGAATTTTGTTCTCGAAAGAAAAATTCTTATTGTAGTATTCTTTGATATACTTGTAATACTGTTGTTTTACTGGGTCGAATTGTTCGACCTCTATTGGTATATGGGCTCCTATGTGGATTCCTCGATATTGCCTGAATATCATTTATGATAATTCACTTGGCTAGCAGCAACTCTGTAACTAAACTTTATCGACTTTGAGAAGACCTTTGACATCGTCGACCGAGAAGTAATTTGGAAACAGCTTCAATACTGCGCAATACCACAAACCTTTATCAACCTCATTCAACAACTATATGAAGACGCCACATGCCAAGTAATTAACAATGGGAAGCTCAGTGATGACTTTCAAGTAAAGACAGGAGTGAAACAAGGTTGTCTACTATCACCCATGATATTCCTGATTGTGGTCAACTGGATCATGCAGCAAACAGTGGTGAGCTGTGAGAAGAGGGGGATACGCTGGACTGCGGAAAAGAACCTAGAAGACTTGGATTTCGCTGATGATTTGTGTCTAGTGTCACACAGACTTGAAGATCTACAGGCGAAAACTAACAAGTTGATAGAAGAGGCAGCGAAGATGGGACTTCAGGTGAATATAGAGAAGACAGAGGTGATGAAGATACCGCACCACCACCATCAACAACAAACTCCAATCACCATCAGCGGGAGAAACTTAAAGGAAGTAACCTCCTTCACCTATCTAGGAAGCACTGTTTCAACTACAGGCACCACGGGCACAGACGAGGATGTCAAAGTCAGAATCGGAAAAGCAAGACAGGCGTTGATTAGCCTGAAACCAGTGTGGAGATCTGCACTCAGCATGTGGGACAAGATCTGGATTTCAACACCAACGCCAAGCCAGTGCTTCTGTATGGTTCAGAGACTTGGCGAGTTACGAAAGGGATTTCCAATAAACTACAAACATTCATCAACAACTGCCACCTATGCTGGCTCATTACTGAAACTCAGATGGCTAGAATAATAAGAGTGAGCAACAAGGAGCTCTTGGAACGAACCAACCAAGAACCTATCACACAACAAATATGCAGGAGGAAGTGGAGATGGATTGGGCATACACTGAGAAGGCCGACTGGGGACATCACACGTCAGGCCGTCGAGTGGAACCCCCATGGGAAGCGACGAGTTTGACATCCGAGGTTGACATGGAGGAGGAAATGAGAGCTTGTGGGCTGTCGTGGGGCCAGTTTCAAAAGATTTCAGAGAACAAAGTGTACTGGAGACGTGTCACTGAAGCCGTATGTTCCATTAGGAATCCAACAGACTAATAATAATAGTAATAAACTTGACTAGCAGAGGAATATCCAGGATGCGCATAGCATTCTGTTTAGGAAGAAGAATTTGATTCAGTAAAACAACACAGAATTACAAGCATATCAATAAACAGTAATAACTAATTGCAGTTGTATAACAGGTGGCTATCTAGCCTTCGTAACCTAGTGGATAACACCTTGGAGTTTGAAGCGATGGGCACCAGGTTCAAGTGCCAGTGAGGGCAACATCACTTCGCACTGGGATGCAGGTCCATCCACTTGTCGAATCCTAAATAGGGCGAAACGTGCGTCCCACATTCTTTTGTTAGCCACAACCAAGTGAACTACCATAAAAAATACTTATCAAATGGGCCGTGGAGAAGACAGAAGGAAATCTAACTTAGAGCATCTGGACAAATATTATGTCTAAATTTTATTATTATTGTCCCTTGAGTTCCTAGTGGAACATAGAGATTCAGTGGTAGGTCTCGATTTCATTCTCTTCTCTGAAATCTTTTGAAACTGGCTCCACGACGGTTCAGAAGTTCTCATTTCTTCCTTACACACAATCTTCTCCATGTCACCCTCAGTTAGGACGCCCAACTCGTCGTTTTCCATCTCGGTTCCACTCGAGTGCCTGGTCTGGCCTGGTGCGTGATGTCCCCAGTCAGTCTTCTCAGTGTATGCCAAATCCAATTCAACCCATCTCCACTTCCTTCTACTGCATGTTTGTTGAGCGATAGGTTCTCGGTTGGTTGGTTGGTTCATTGGCAGGCAGCCAGAGTTCTTTCTTGCTTATTCTTATTATTCTGGTCATCTGAGTTTCAGTAATGAGCCGGGGTAGGTGGCAGTTGTTGATGAATATCTGTAGTTTGTTGGAAATGCTTTCCGTAACCCGCCAAGTCTCTGAACCATACAGAAGCACTGACTTGACTGAATTGGTTGGTGTTGAAAATTCGGATGTTGTTTTTTGTGCTGAGTGCAGTAGATCTCCACACTGGTTTCAGGTTAATGAATGCCTGTCTTGCTGTTTTTCCTATCCTGGCCTCTTTGACGTTTTCGTCTGTGCCACCTGTAGTTGAAACAGTGCTGCCCAGATGGTAGGTGAAAGAGACAACTTCCTTTAAGTTTCTTCCGTTGATGGTGATTGGTGTTTGTTGTTGTTGTTTTGATATCTTCATCAGCTCCATCTTCTCTACGTTCACTTGAAGTCTCATCTTCACTGTCTCGCCTCACCTCTTCTGTCAACTTGTTGGATTTAACCTTTAGGTCTTCACGTTTTTGTGACATTAGACACAAGTCATCGGCGAAATCCAAATCTTCTAGGATATTTTCCCCAGTTCATCCAGCGTATCCCCCTCTTCTCTCTCCTTACAGTTGTCTGTTGCATGAGCCAGTCCATCACAATCAGGAATATCATGTGTGATAATAGACAGCCTTGTCTTTCTCCTGTGTGTTTTCACTTCAAAAGCATCACTGAGGTTTCCACTGTGAATTACTTGGAATGTGGTGTCTTCATATAGTTGTTGAAGGTTTGTAGTATTCCATAGTTGTTCGAAAAATTATGAATTTCAATTGTGGACATTTTTGAGTTCTCCACGGTAACTGATTACATTTTCATGATTATTTAAAGTCAAATTATGAACTGTCATCATGTTCAAATGTACTTGTTTGAATAAATTCAAAGGGAGATAGACAATTTCTAGAGTGAGATCCAAACGTATTTCACTACTACCAACGAGTTGAATCACGCAACCTTGAACTGTACACATTGGTAGTGACATATCAATAGAAAGAGATGGATATAAGCAACTTCCAAAGGAATTATGATATGGGAAGAATACGTATTCGATACTGATAACTTCGTTAGTGGAGTTTTGTCTCATTAATATAACCAGTCGACTTTCAATCAGTAAATCAACGATTCGAACACCACTCAAATGCCATAGGTTTCCACAATAACCGATAAGAAGCATGATTAGTTGTGATACAACACGTGTACATCATTGTCTACTTGTATGGATATGAAGAAGATTGTTGTGTAGATTTCGAAGTGAAAGGTAGTGGATATCGAACCAATGTGTTGAGCTTTCTACCAGTTGTCTTCAATCATTCAATATGGTGTACTTTGATGATGAATCGGTCGATTTGACTATCTGAAGGCAAAAAAACAAACTTGATCAACAGAGAGAAGGAGTTGATCATAGATAATATGAAACTGGTTATTATTGTTCGATAATGAATATTTGTCAGTGAGTTCTATAGGAGTTGTACAACATCTATAATAGGTGTAGATTTCAATGTGGAATTTGGCATGATAATGTAGTTACACACTGTAGTATTGTTGAATAATGAAGAGGAGAAACGAGTCTATAGCTTAGCAACAATCAGTGATCAACTCATCTTAAGCTGCATACAAGGATTTGTATCAGGCTCTTCAGAACTTCTGAAATGTACGTATCCTTTATCCAATGTCAATTTGAAGCAGCTGAACTCGAAAGTCTTAGGTTCGACCTCATTAGTCACTGAAAGTTAGTACTTTTAGGTTACTAGAAGCTGGAAAGAGACACTGATTTTCTACGAATCTATAGCGTATGTTTTAGAAGATTTTTCATTTCTTGCTAACCATCTGAAAGTAGTTGAAAGCAAACCTGAATCATAATGGGACTGATTTCAGCATTTTCTGACAAGCATTCCGTCGATTAGGTTATAAGACCTAACGGTAAATTAATTTTCAGATTCATTTCAGGTACTGAAAATTTTCGGATTTTATTCATTATAGACTGACATTGTCCAAGTATAGGACTTATCAGGACTGCATATCCAAGACCCCTCCAGGGCTCGAACCCATGACCTTCAGGTTCCACGGCCAGCACATTGCTTTTAAGGCACTACATCGGGATATAGTGGTCCATATTTCCTTTTTCTCTGAGTTCACGATAGTACTTGCCTGTTGTATGGTGACTGAAACATTCGTGACTGTCGATCCTACAAATTACCAGGTCTCCAGTATATTCTTCTATTCCCACTCCACACGTTGATAAGACTATATGAGACCACTAAACTCAGAAATTATCCGTAATACACATAGATAATGAATGAACTCGGAGGGAGAACTAATTTGTTGAAGAATTCATGGCAGCATTGTCCTTTTTCCTTCTAGGCTGATTCATCAGCTGGGAATATTGAAACCAGTTACTTGCATCTCTAAATTTCGCCAACAAGCTATCCATCCATCCAGCCAGCCAGCCAGCCAGGCAGCTAGCCAACCAGCCACGCAGTCAGATAAGAGTGATCTAAGCAGTAGACAGTTGTTTTGCTCTGTTGGGACCGAACCAGGTCATCATCAGTGTCCTCGGACAAAATATTCAACTCACGGAACTGAATTAATTGATATCACCTGAATTTAGTTAACTGACTTGCAAGGTGTCATTCTGGCTTGGTGATTTCTAGTAGAAACTGTATTCAGCTGTATAAAATGTCACAATGGACCGTACAGCTTGTAGATAATTTGTAAGTTAATCATCCTAAGGTGACAGAGTTATAGTAAGAAGGTAAAAGCATTAAGGCACAGTAGTGGAACACAATCTTAAGGGAGAATTCATCCTCAAAATAAACATATCGTGAGCTAACAAAGTTGGAAATATGAACGATTGCATCCTGACCCAGGGGCTCAATGGTAATCTGCTGGCCATGGAACCTAAAGGTCATGGATTTGATCCCTGACGAGGTTATGGGCGCGCATTGCTGGAGTTTCATACTACGCTGGCTATCCAGTGCTCCCAAATCTCCTTTGTTCCTCCAACTGATGTCAGTCTGCTATGAATAACAAGTTGAAATATTTCCAAATCCTCACAACTCCATCAAAAATTCAATTAAACTGGTGCTCATTGATGACTAGGTTCCAGAAGTCATGACGGATGAAGGCTAAGCCTGATGGTGATGAGGACAATTACTCAACGATGACATTGAGTGGCGGTTGGGCTATATCGTGAGGTAATAGAAGTTGGAAATATGGAGCATTAGATTGAGATCTAGTGGCTCAATGATAAGGTGCTGGTCGAGGAACCTGAAGGTCACGAGGTCATAGGTGCACACTGCTGAGGAGTCCCATACTAGGACGAAACAGTTGGCTATCCAGTGCTACCAGGTTTCCTTTGTTCCTGCAAGTGATGTCAGTCTACGATGAATAACAACTTGAAACATTGTTTTGTTAGAATTTCAATCTGGTTCAATGTTCAATAGTGATCATTGAAAGATGTCATGATATTTCCTTTTTTCTTGTTTTAATCCTATTTATAAATATGCTAATCTTTTTTTGTTTGTTTGTGTGTGTGTAAATACTTAAATATTTAGGCTTCTCGATGAACAATTATATCAATTAAAAGATGTGAATGAAAAATGTAAACGTATAAAAGGGACTATATTAACTCTAAAACGGTAAGTTATTCAACGATTTATTATTATTATTATTATTTTCAAGATTCAATTCAATGTACTTTTATTACAATGTTCAATGGTTCAATTAAATTTTCCTATAGACCTTTTATCAATCATTTTTGTACAAAATAGAAAAATGAAAGATTATTCTCTTGTAAAAGAGAAAAAAAACTGTATGAAACCATCCAGTTGTTGGGAGATAGTCAGTAGAGTATTTTCTAAGCATTTCAGTGATGACTGGGATGTAAGTTGAAATTTAGTTATTGAATTGAATGACTGAACGTTTATGATATAGTTTATCACAATGGCAAGTGAGTATTTAGAGTAACTTGATAAGATGATCCTGAGGACAGTTACTCAACAATGGCATTAAGTGGTGGTTGAGCTATATTGTGAGCTAATAGAAGTTGGAAATATGGACGATTGGTTTCTGACCCCATAGCTCAACGTGCTGAACGTGTTGGCCACGGGACCTGAAGGTCGTGGGTACGCACTGCTGAGGAGTCCCGTTCTAGGACGAAACATCTGGCTGTTCAGTGCACCCAGGTTTCCTTTGTTCCCCCAAGAGATATCAGTCTTTGTATGTCTTTTATGAATTTCGATAGTGTAATTGTAAGATGAAGTTTATCTGAACACGGTGTGTGATATATTTGTGCAATACACATTTTGGATAATCTGAACATACACTTAGTTGACTTGTCAAGTTAATATACATCATATACCGAGGATTGAGGGGACAGATACAACAATTAACACAATATAAAGGGATTAAAATTAAGAAAGATGAGAACAAACAGGAAGAGTGACATAGTTGATCCTCATCTTGGTAAAAAAAAACAAAAGTTTACCAAGGGAGGTTGGTGTAGTGTTTTTGTACACATAGATGTGATTTAAATTTGTAAATGGCTATGGCTTCAGCAAATCTCAGAATACGTCCCTGACTTTAACTACATAAATCTTGGAAGTCTATTTGAAGATTAACTTCGTAACCTGTTTCTATGATATATTTAGCTATAGATGAAGACGGTCGTATCCCACCAGCATTTATCACGGTTTCACACCCAATTGATTTTGAAGCCATTTAGGTACATGTTGTCTCTCACCCTCAACTGTATGACTCAATCACTTCTCTTTGTGTATGTGTGTGTGATTACATACACACTATCGAAAATCTGTGTATACTTGTCACTAAGGTTATGTAAAGTGTTCGGTTGGTTTAACGAATCCAGTTTCATGAGCTGTAAGCAATGCTTTAAATAGTTTAACGTAGATTTGATGGGTTTAGGTATGAATCTTCTGTAGAGTACCAGTACTTAAAGTAGCTAGGCAATGAATGTCAGTAAACGAGGTGATTAAACTCTACACATTCCTCCTAATAACTTCAAACCATCCAGGATACTTTGGTTAGTGTAACATCAAAGTAATCTTCGAGTTGAACACTCAGAGCAACTTATTTCTATCACATTTTATCCAACTAGAATGAATATTTTGTTTTATAAAATAACACTGTCCACATTGGAATCTTTCATAATTCTACACAGATGTTTGCTATCACTTAGCTTTAAATGTGTTAACATCTGAATTTTGAGGGAATTGCGGGGATTTCAAGTTCTTATTCATCATAGACTGACATCAGTTGCAGGAACAAGGGAAATCTGGGAGCACTGGATAGCCAACTGTTTACTCCTAGTATGGAACTCCTCAGTAGTGCGTACCCACGACCCCACCACCTTCAGGTTCCTCGACCAGCACCTTATCATTAAGCCATGGTCCATATTTCCAACTTCTGTCAGCTCACGATATAGCCCAACCGCCACCCAATGTCATCATTGAGTAATTGTCCTCACCACCATCAGGCTTAGCCTTCATCGTTCACGACTTCTCATTGGAACTTCGGGAATACTTCTGGAACCTAGTCACCAATGAGCACCAGTTCAATTGAATTTTAAGGGAATTGTGGAGATTTGGAAATATTTCAAGTTGTTATTCATAGTAGACTGACGGTTGGGCTATATTGTGAGCTAATAGAAGTTGGAAATATGGACGATTGGATTCTGACCCCGTAGCTCAATGATAACGTGTTGGCCAGGGAATCTGAAGGTGGTGGGTTCGATCCGTGGAGGGTGGGGTCATGGGTTCTTACTGCTGAGGAGTCCCATTGTTCCTCCAACTGGTATTACCATCTGGTTTTTTTTAAACAGTGTTTAACCTTTGTTCCTCTTGTTTCTTTATTGCATAATGCCCAACTCTGTTTCTATACCTCCGCCTAATCATTCACCAAAATCAAAAATGTTTCATGTAACAGGATTATGTAATTTGAATGAGTAAACCAATTCGAAAGCATTTATTAGTACAATCTATCAGACTGTTAATCGAATATTTATTTTTTGGGGATGTTGTAATTTACTTGGTGATAGCTAGCAGTGGAATTCACAATGCGTGTTTCGCCGTATTTGGGACTCATCAGCTGTATGCATTTGCATCCAAGTGAATGACAGTGTTTTTACTGAGACTGGAGTCCTGCTCCCCTCGCTGCAAACGCCAAAGTGCTATCCACTATGCTACTAAGTGACATGATTCACCTCTTGTGTAATGGGCACCAGTTATTATTGCATTGATCTTGTTATGAGTATTCTGTAATTCTATGTTTATAAGAATTTTACCATGATGGTTGTGTTCATCATGGACGGACATTGGTTGAAGAACTGGTGAGAACGTGAAAACAATGAACAGCTGTTTTGTCTTAGTATGGGCCTCTTCAGCAGTATGCATCTTCGGCCCCACCAGGGATGGAACTTAGAACGCTCAAACTTCACAAAGAACCTGTTAGACAATCAGAATTCGATAGTCCACATCTTTCTGCATCTGTCACTTCGTGGGATAGCATGAATAGATGCTTATCTCGTTCGCCGTAACACCTGAACGTCCTGAGTTCGATTCTTGGCAGAGTCATGTATGCGTACCGCTGGTGAGTCTCATAATGAGACGAAACAGCTGCCCAGTCCTCTCAGGTTTTCAATGGTCTTTCAACTAATGTTTTCCTAGGATAAATATAGCCTTAATATTCAGTATTCTGTGTTAATTTACATTATTCCACTTTCAGACTTGCTATTGTTAATGTACAAAATCGTCAACGTTCTAATTCACCAAGACGTTTTACACATCTTGGTGGTTTTGTAAATCGTGCAGCAGCTGATCGAGGCAGTATTGAACGAAGTCGTTTATATGCAGCTGTACAAACTATTCAACCAGATTCTGAGAAGAGATTACAAGCTATTAAAGTGAGTTATTCTTTGTTCGTTATTCTTTCTTCAATGAGAACTGGATAATTATTTACTCTTTTTTGATTAATTCACTGAAATTATTTGAGATTTATTGAAGTTCGTGGATTCGAACCTCCATCCTTTCAACTTTGACCTTTTGAAGTGATACGTTACTTCAAATGAATACAATAACAACCATTTACAGATGTTAATGATGGATCGTGGCTAGCAGCGGAATCCAGGATGCGCATTTCGTCCTATTTGGGACTCGTCAGCTGGATGCATCTGCCGCCCCCCAGCGAGTGATGTTGTTCCTACCTGGATTCGGACTCGGGAGCGATCGCTTCAAACACCAGCGCGTTATTTAGGTACACCCAGCTGACGAGTCCCAAATAGGATGAAATGCACATTCTGGATTCCATTGCTAGCTACTATCCATCATTAGCATAATTAGAACGCTGGCAATATCGAGGCATCCACACGGGAGCCCATATGCCAATAGAGAGACCAATCAATTCAGTCCAATCAACGACGGTATGATATAAAAACAATTATACTAAAACTATTTGCAGAACGAGAAAAAATATTAGAAGACAAAAACTCGTCTCCGACTGAAATGATAATTTTATTCGATACAATTTTTCAAAAACATAAAAATGTTCTAGGTCAAAGACACAATTGCTTATCCTGATTGGCTAATATATAAAGCACGAAGTTGTCCAATCAGATTAGGTTCAAAATCACAAGGTCAAATATTATTTCTATCTTATTATCGATCAATAACTTAAAATGTTGATTTCTATTCCCACAGTTTTCTATCAATTTTACTCGTGTATAAATCAATAAATTTTTCAATAGAGGTTATTTTAGAAATTTTGACTCCTACTGAAATCTTTTTTGTACCTACAATAGACTCTAACATCTGTAGACTTTAATTCAACACACTTGGCTGAGTGATTGCCATTATGATGTTTCAACATCAGTTCATATCTCTGTTTGATATAATCAATAGTAAAGTTTGATGGAAAATTAATATTTTATAGCTCCAGATGATAGAGGATAAGATCAATAATTTGTAGGTGATAGTTTCAAATTTACCTCTACTTCATCACATGTTACCATTTAAACTGAATATGGTGTAACTGATATTGTTCTCTAGTATTTCTAAAACATCAATGTCAAGTCAGTGCTTCTATATGGTTAAAGGAATTGGCGCAACACGAAAAGCATTTCCAAAAAATTACAGATATTCATCAACAGCTGCCGCCTACGCCCACTTGATACTGAATATCAGATAGCCAAAATGATAAGAATAAACAACAAGAAACTGTGGCTGGTTGGCAACGAACCAACGAAAGGAAGAACCTATCACCCAACAAATATGCAGTGGAATAAAGTGGAGATGGACTGGATTGTGCATACACTGAGAAGACTATTTGGGACATGACGCGTCAGGCCAGGCCAGGCACTCGAGTGGAACCCAGATGGGAAGCGACGAGTTAGGCGTCCCACGTGAGGGTGATATTGAGGAAATTGTGTGTGAGGAAGAAATGAGAGCTTGTGGGCAGTTGTGGAGTCGGGTTCAAAAGATTGCAGAGAAGAGAGTGCAATGGAGGTGTGCTACTGAAACCTTATGTTCCACTAGGAATCCAAGGGAATAATAATAATAATGAGGTCATTTTTGAGCTATACGAACTATAGTTTACAACCGCTAATTTTGGTAGCCATGTAGATCCCGATCAACAAATCTACATTTCTGAATACGGGTCAAATCATAAGTCTCAAAGTTTATGAACTGTCGCCATGTTTAAGTACTGGATAGTTGTAACTTTTTTGCAGCCTAAATCTGCTTGTGCTAATGTCATGCGATGAGGTTGGCAAGAGTGATAAGATATGCCTGCAACATATCCAAGCCATTCAGTTTGTATAAGCTTTACAATATCATTAACTGACTTCCCCTTTCTATCTTAAACACTATGCCTGACCTGAAGATCGCTAATATAGTGCATCACCAACACATGTTAGGTGAAAGGGATCAGGACGAGTCGAAATGGTGAAGATGCATCCTTATCAAAACTTGACGAATTTATCCCCACATGACCATCTGAGTGGTTTCAACTATAAAGATTTAAGTACGACGGAGGGGGCTTCTTTACCAAAGCTTGCCTTCAAATCGTGCTAAATCTTACAGCAGCCTGGATGATCAGACAGCTTATTGTAAGCCATCTGACAGTTCGTTCGGCTCATACTTAAATGCATGACTGATGGGCAACCACGTATCATGTGTTCAAATGGTAGTCGGGCAAAACAATCCTGGGTGATTGACTGAAGTAAAATAAAAATGTGGTGAGCAGTCGGACCTCGTAGCTCAGTTGTTAGAGCATCTGGCCTGGAAACCTGATAGTCGCTAGTCCGAATCCGGCGGCGGTCCAAACTTCCATTTCACCTTCAATCATAACCCAGTAACAATACTAGTCTGCCAAACCCCGGCTATCTCATATTATTATTACTATCATTATTATTTGTTCCTAGTGGAATATAGGACTTGAATAGCATGTCTTCATTCGATTCTGTTCTCTGCAAACTTTAAAACCAGGCCCCACGACGCGCAGAAGCTTTCATTTCTTCCTCACACCATCTTCTCCATGTCACCTTCAGCTGCGACGGCCAACTCGGCGTTTCCCATCTGGGTTCCACTAGACTGCCTGGAGGAGACTGATTCTCACTGTATAACAGCCTTCAGTGCTCTCGGAGACATCATGATTGCTACTCCGTAACTCAGTGTGGTGGTGGTTGTCATCTGTGTGACAATATCGCAGTAGATTATTGACTTTCAAGTTGACAGTTTGGAGAGTCTACTTGCATTCTGCCTGCTTTCGCAGATTCGTAGCACTTCTATGATATACCTTGTCATCTTTTTAGCAATCTATACAGACTTGGTAGGTTCAAACATAGTACGGATATTCCAAGTCCCCACGTTTACTTTCGCTTTCATAGAGAGAAGAGAAGACACATTGGCTGACTGGCTTCCCGAAGGTTTTCACCAACCAACTTCATTTCGTCTCTCCAATTCCAGCCAGGAATAAGTTTGCTTCCTTTTTTTATAATCTCTTTGTGCTTTGAAGTTTCGCTATTTACCCGGGCTTAGAACCGGTTAGTAACTAGTGAACTAGTTGACCAGGTGAGGTTGGCTACCTCATATAGTCAAATGATAATTCTCTAGTATTTTTTTAAAGTTACTTTATGTACAAATTTTGATAAATTTATGTTTTCAGACACATTCAGAAGGATACACCACCTAAGGATTTCAACTTTCCTACTGTTTCAGTTTAGTATGCTAAAATGTATTCTGTTATTTCTGACCGGTGAGTCGTATTTCTTCATATCTGCGCCTTAATTAATCTCATGTCAATCCATACTGTGAACTACAGTATAATCAACCAATCTCTTTTAAATCACCAAGGGAGTAAAGGTTTTAGTCAAGGAGAAACTGTGTCTTGTCAACTAAAGTGAGTGAGGGCTAGAGTTTAGACACTACGTCTGGCTACACGTTACACCGCTTACTTGTTTATATATACTGGAATGAGTCTGCCTAGGACATAATTGAATCATATAGCAATATTATTGATTAATAGTGTATATATACAGCTATGCATTATTTGTATGCATGAATTGTTGTTGCCTAAGCAAGTTACCTAATTGCATTTTTAATGTTTAGTGTTTACCTACTGAATAAAATTATAAGTAGTGTATGTATTTAACGTGAAATATGTTTGGTTTTTTAGAAACAAGAGATGTTGGCTATTCAAAGAAGACGTGTTTTCTCAAATGAAAATATCTCGACGAATAAACTTTTTTTTACACCAATAATTGATAAAAAATTATCAAAACAAAAGATAATGTAATATTATCTGGAGAGTTAGATAAAATTTCATTATTACCAAAAGAATCAAGATTATCATCAATAATCAGTGGACAAACTATGATAACAGAAAGTAAAGATGAGAAACGTGCACCATTAGCTGGTTATTCTGATGACTCACTTGGTTCAGTTACTACAACAGGGAGTACTGATTCATGTAATAATAATGAATATAATAAAATAAATCAATCATATAAAAGTTATAATCCAGATAATATAACCTCTATGATGGATGAAAGTAGTGATAGTACATTAGAAAGTAATCAATCAACTATTATACCAATAGGTATACTTAAAACATCAACATTGAATACAATACATAATAATTGTAATTCACCAAATCAACGTAATCATCATCGTAATAATAATACACGTGGTGTTATGTTCAATACAATTGTAACTGTTGATGATGGTAGTGAAGTGATACGATTAAATTGTACATTAGATAATTCAGAATTGAATAAAAATAAAGTACCACCAACAATAGATAGAATCAATTCATCAACGCCAACAACAACGCCAACGTCAACGCCAACAACAATAACAGAGAGATTACCACGTAGTAAAATATCACATGAACGTGTTAATAAAAGTATACCACAAAAATCTAATTTATACACAGATTCAATAAAATCTTCATTATGTACAAATAATAATAATAATAATAATATTGAAACAAAATTATCTAAAAATTTACAAATTAAAAATGACAATAAATTAGAGGATATATCATCACAAGTGAATGAATTTAGTTATACACCACCAACACCACCACCAAGACGTACTAGTCAAATAACACAAATGAATATAGATGAAAATGGAATATTAACAGGTAATAGACAAGAAGGTGAAAACATTGAAATAATTGTAAGTTTTATTATTATACAATCTTCATAGATTTCTTAGTAAAACAATATACTTTTAAGTTGTTATTCATCGAAGACTGACATCAGTTGGAGGAACAAAGGAAACCTGGGAGCACTCGACAACCAGCTTTTTCCTCCTAGTATGGGACTCCTCAGCAGTGCGCACCCACGACCTCACCAGCAGGGATCGAACCCGCGACCTTCAGGTCTCGCGGCCACCGCGTTACCATTGAGCCACTGGTCAGAATCCAATGCTCCATATTTCCAACTTCTGTTAGCTCACGATATAGCGCAAACCGCCACCCAATGTCATCGTTGAGTATTTGTCCTCACGGCCATCAGGCTTTGACTCCACCGGTCACGACTTGTCATTCGAACTTCGGGAATACTTCTCGAAGCTAGTCACCAACGAGCACTAGTTCAATTAAATTTTGAGGGGGTTGTGGAGATTTGGAAATATTTCAAGTTGTTATTCATCGAAGACTGACATCAGTTGGAGGAACAAAGGAAACCTGGTCGTGAGGACAAATACTCAACGATGACATTGGGTGGCGGTTTGCGCTATGTCGTGAGCTAACAGAAGTTGGAAATATGGAGCATTGGATTCTAACCCAGTGGCTCAATGGTAACGCGCTGGTCGTGGGACCTGAAGGTCGCGGGTTCGATCCCTGCTGGTGGGGTCGTGGGTGCGCACTGCTGAGGAGTCCCATACTAGGAGGAAAAAGCTGGTTGTCGAGTGCTCCCAGGTTTCCTTTGTTCCTCCAACTGATGTCAGTCTTCTATGAATAACAACTTGAAATATTTCCAAATCTCCACAACCCCCTCAAAATTTAATATACTTTTAAGCCTACAGGTGTGTGTGTGTGTGTGTATGTGTAGAGGGTGAAGTGAAAGTTACCAGCTAAGGTAAGTAAATTATTTCCTGAAACTATGAACTGTTATCAGCTAAGATGGGTTGGATATGCATTGGATATGCCACGAGAGGTGATTCCCGAAGTTCCAATAAGAAATCATGACCAGTGGGGTTAAAGAACAGTTACTCAACGATGACATTCCGTGGTGGTTGAACTATATCATGAACTAACAAAAGTTGGAAATATGGACCATGACTCAATGATAATATGCTGACCATGGAACCTGAAGGTGATGGGGTAGTGGGTGTACACTGCTGGGGAGTCCTATACTAGGCGTAAACAGTTGGCTATCCAGTGCTCCCAGGTTTACTTTGTTCTTCCAAGTGATATCAGTCTACGATGAATAACTACTTGAAATACTGAGTCATCGCCTACCTCGTGGAATCATATTACGCAAAGTTCGATTAAGTTAGAAGAAGATTGAGTTTGACTAAACCAAGTAGTTACACCAGTACATTAATTCCCTAACTATTACTCTGAACTATGTAGGGAGGGGTATAGACTGCATAACTGAGATCTACAAGGCACTCGTTGATAACTGATAGTGACATAGTTGAAATTCGGTCAGAATATTTTCTCCAACCTTCATTTTCTAATTTCTTCTTTTCTCTCTCTCTCTCTGCCTACTTTGACATCAACGTTTCCTTTCCTTAGTTGTATTGTGTTCTATGAGGAGGTCAGTTGTTTAGTCGTGAAGCTTTCACCGTCTTTATAGACTACGTCATCATCAGCACTAACTTCAATATGGAGTAAGCTGTCTATATCTCTCTGTCAGTCATTCAGTAACTTGCCCTGGCCAACTGCTTTCTGATTCGTTGTTTCCTTTGATTGTTATGCCGTTGACTTTATGGACTTTCCTGTTGGCTGTTCCTCTGCCTGACCTTTGATTTTTCTGTAGTTTATCCTTTTTCTCATCGGTCACAGCAAGCCACTAAATCACTCACTTAGGAAAAGATATTCACAGCTCATTTCATACTGAGGTTAGTTCTGATGATGATGTCGTCTAGAAAGACGACGAAAGCGTCTTCAGGATTCAACAATCCACCTCAGAGAAAACAATACTATCGAGACCATCCATTTGAGTTAGAAATATTCTCCATTACCTTTCCTATCCATTTAATCATTGTATGTTGTTATGAAACATGGTTACTTCTAGTGATACACTTGTTCACATGGTTCTACATTGATTTTGTCACTAAAAGGAGAACAAATAGGCATTTCAGACAATCAACACTCTTAATGTATCTGCCAGTGAGTGAAATGATTCACTGATATTTGGTTAACATAAATGTTAGTTGGTTGATGACAATCAGTAGGAAATCCATCTCCACCTAAGTTTAGTAGTTATTGACACTCGATACCAAGGCGTATCTACAACTTCGACAAAACTGATATCCAGTGTGAGATTCGAACAGTCGACAAACTTTACCACTGAGATATTCGCTCCACGACTACCCACCTGAAGACTACATTACATATATTGATTGGTCAAGAGTTGCAGGTTCAAATCTCACGTGGGAAATCAGTTACGTCCAGGTTTCAGATACACCTTACTGACAACTACAAAACCTCAGTCCAGCGCTTCCTACCAATCGCCTACAACCAACTAATATCTACTAATGGGTACCACAATGCTTAGCCTCCTAGCTCAGTGGTGACCACGTCGCAAATAGGATTCGGTCTACACTCAAGATTAGATAACATGAAATTGGTTTGCACTCCTGTAACCAATCAATAAGGGGTTAACATAAATTTCTTCAAACAATTTCCAAAGAAGAACAAGTAGGTAATTCAGCAAAGAGTCTCTTTTCGGCGATTTCATTATCAAAGTTGTACAATCACAAATTTATACCCTTTTCTAATGTAACAACTTGATAGTAAAAGGAAAATGGTTTATCAAATATGCCAGGTAACACAAATAGTGTCTACAATGTGATCAGTTATCAGTGAAATCAAAAAAACTGTGATGAATAGTGAATATTAATCAAAGGAAATTTCGACAAGAAGATGTTTCGTAACATGACAATGATATAACTGGAAACTGAATTATGATCAGGTTGAACAACAAGCAACAAGAAAGAAGTAGGTAGTATGAAAACAGAAGAAAAAACAGACGAGGTGATTTCAAAGACCGAAATTTATCACCATGGAAGGAGAAGGAGTTGAACAATCCTCTTTCACTTGCACAAATGCATATTTCTCCATATGGATGACAAGAGCTTCGGCTATGTAAAGAAAATGAAGATATACAGCCTTTGGAAGGGATCTTTTCAATTTATAGATGAGCTTCTTGAAATAGGGTAATCTGTGTTCACTATGTGAAAAGGATTTCGATAGAGGCGTCGATTGGGAAACAATTTGTCAGCTAGCTGCTTCAACACTATGGTTTTACTGCCACAAACCTTTATCAAGCTCATTCAACATCAGGTATATGCTATATAATGATACTACGTGTCAAGTGATTCACAATGAAAAGCTCAGTGATAAGTTTGAAGTGAAGAAAGGAGTAAGACAAGGTTGACTAGTATAATCACCCATCATCCTTCTGATTGTGGTCGACTCGACCATGTGGAAGCCGGGATCGAAAAGACAGGAACAGAGGCTTACATTAATTGAAAATTAGTGTGGAGATCCACTGCGCTGCACTCATCATAAAGCGTGAACAATATCCAGATTTTCAACATCAATGTCAGTCAAGTAAGGCAGTGCTTCTATGTGATGCTTAACAGACTTGGCCCGTTACGCTCACTAGATAATGCAGGTAGAGATGAGATGGTGAGAACAATGAGGATAAGCAAGGAGGAACTCTAGTCTGTCAACAAACCAAGCAAGAACCCAACGCCCGACAAATATGTAGAAGAAGAAAGGGGAGATGGATAGGATTCGACATTGACTGAGAAGACCATTTGGAGACATCATGCACTAGGCCAGGCCGTCGAGTGGAATCTAAATGGAGAACAACGAGCTGATCGTCTGAGCTGGAGGTGACATGGAGGAGATCATGTGAGGAAGAAATGAAAGGTTGTAGGCAGTGATGGAGCATGGTTGAAGAGACTAGAGAGAAGAGAGTGGAATGGAGGCGTGCTACTGAAGCTCTATGTTCCACTAGGAATCCAAAGTATAAATAATAAGAGTATAAAAAATAATAATGTCTTCAATTAAAGCACTCTTTATCGCTCCATTGTTACCTCTTTGTAACCCCACACGGGATAGTCATCTTCAACCCTTTTCGATAACAGTTCCATTGAACGACCTATATACCTACCTGGCTGGCTCCACAGGAACCGATGAATTCATATAAGCACACAGAAGTGGTCAGATGAGAAAGTTTCTTCTTCGAGTTATCAGAAATCGTTGGGCAACAAGAGAATACTAGTCTTAGCCTTGATACAATGAATGTTCTCCCTTAGAGCATTTGATATCCTCCTTTTTGGAGTCTCGGAGGCAGAATCACCTTTCAAGTTGAGATTTATATAGAGTATCTTTCTTGGCACAGTGATTAGGTTCTCTTTGCGAGGTTTCAGCTTGATGTTTTTGTCTATAAAGGATGGTGGGAATCCGTTTTCAATCAGGATGTTCTCTAGAACAAAAATTTTCTCATCTACTATATCGGGACTACAGATTCGTCTAATACGAGTAGTAAGAGATAGGATCACATTTCGCTTATGACTGACTCAAAAAGATCCAGGTATTAAAGTTCATCAGTTGACCATTCCACATTAGTTTTCTGTAAATTAATCTCCTTATCATCTCACCAACTCTTCTTGTCACCTCTATATCAAGAAAGTGAATTTTTGATCCATTTTCTACCTGAAGAGTGAATCTAATTGCTGAATAGAACATGATTCATATCATACTGATGCTCATCGATAACAAGAGTATGTTGTATGTCCCATTTGTACACTTGTCAACCTTTAATCGTTGATTTCAAGGATCCGTTCTCCAAACTGGCCATTAAGCAGTTTGCTGGTAGTGAATCTAGTGGAGATTTTGTCTCTGTCTGTCTGTCTATATAGAGAATATCGGTTTACATCACTTAAATGATCAAATTTAGTTGGTCTAAATTGGCTATGATCCCTTGAACTAA